GCAGCTACCAAACCTGGTCAATTAATATCATCTGATGTATGTGGTCCTTTTGAAGGGTCTTTCCAGAAAAAACAGTATGTAGTATTATTTAAAGATAACTACACTAAATTTCGATATGGCTACTTCATTAAACATAAATCAGAAGTCAAAGATGCCTTAACCCATATGATTGTACATGCTAAGACATTAGGACATACGATTCAGGAATTTTTAAGCGACAACGGTGGTGAATTTGACAATAAGCAGGTTAGAGATATTTTGTCCTCAAACGGTATTACTCAAAAACTCACAGCACCTTACACTCCAGAACAGAACGGGGGAAGTGAGAGAGAAAACCGAACCGTCATTGAAATGGCTAGAACCTTGAAGTATACGAACCCAGAAGTCAAATTTCCGGAAAGCATTTGGGCTGAATTAGTAAATACTGCTATCTATATTTTGAATCGTACAGCCAAGTCGACAATCGAAGGATTAAGTCCATATGAGTTATGGATAGGACACAAGCCTAGAATAAAGCATCTAAGAATTATCGGCTCAAGTTGCTATGTCCATATTCCATGTCAAAAAAGAAAGAAAATGGATAAAAAAGCTACCAGGGGATACCTTCTAGGGTATGATGGAGACGAAAGATATAGAGTTTGGGTAAAAGAAACTCAAAAGGTTGTTCTGTATCGAGATGTACAATTTGAAGAGAAACCAGAAGAATGTCCCAGGGTAGAATTTGAAAAGAACCCAGAAGAAGAAGAAAAAGAAGAAGAAGATGATAAAGAAGAAAAATCCGCAGAGTATATAAAATTGTCATTAAGAGATTTTCAAAAGGAAAATACCCAGAAAGAAAGCTGCCAAGACAATGAAGAAGAATATCAAGAAAATCAAGAGAATTTAGGATATGAAGCAGATCTAAAAGAAAGTGTTGACAAAGAAGAAGACTATTATGAAGATATGCCAACATCTTCAAGACCTAATCTAAGAGATAGAGCAACGTTAAGAAGTCCAGATTTTTTCGGAGAGAGAGTCTTAATTATAGAGGATTTTGTTAATACAATTAAAACTCCCGAAACCTATGAAGAAGCAGTCAACAGTCGCCAAAGCTCTCAGTGGAAAGAAGCTATGAAGAGTGAGTTGACGTCTTTAAAAGAAAACCAAACATGGCAGCTAACATTCTTACCAGAAGGAGCGAAGGCTTTACCATGTAGATGGGTTTTTAAAGTTAAGTCTAATCCAGATGGTAGCGTAGATAAATTTAAGGCCAGATTAGTTATTAAGGGTTTTAATCAGAGACAAGGTATTGACTATAACCAGACATTTAGTCCGGTAGCTAGACTGGGCACAATTAGAACAATTTTAAGTATTGCAGCTAGTGAAAGAATGCATCTAGCTCAGTTTGATGTATCCACAGCATTTTTATACGGGGAGCTTGAGGAAACAATTTACATGAACCAGCCGAGAGGTTACACTGATAGTACCAATAGAGTTTGTAAACTTAACAGGAGCCTTTACGGACTAAAGCAAGCTCCAAGGTGTTGGAACAGACGTTTTGGGGTTTTTCTGAAAAAACTGGGCTTTATAGTAAGTGAAGCCGACCCTTGCCTTTACTTGAGAGAAAAAGAAGGCAGAAAACTCTTATTGGCATTGTACGTGGATGATGGTCTAACTGCGGCAACTGATTTGTGTGATCTAGAGGATTTTCTGGCTGAGCTCCAAACAGAATTTAAGATAACCACAAAATCTGCAGAGTACTTTTTAGGAATAGAAATTAAGAAAATTCATGATGGTTTTATTAAAATTAGTCAAAAAGCACATGCTAGAAGAATTTTAGAACGTTTTAACTTTTTAGATTGTAAACCAATTTCGACTCCTATTCTAAAAGCTTCAGAATCTACAAAAACAGGGAAAGAGTCTGAGAAACAGCATAACTTTCCATACAGGCAGGCGGTAGGAGCGTTAATGTATTTAATGCTGGGTACCAGACCCGATATAGCATACGCTGTAACCTTTTTATCCAGAAATTTAGAAAATCCATCCTCAGAAGACGTAGTAAGGGTCAAGAGAGTATTTAGGTACTTAGCAGGTACTCTTGACCTTGGTATAGTATATTCGTCGGATGTAAATAAAAGAGTTTTAGAATGCTACAGTGATGCAGATTTTGGAGGATGTACAAAAACAGGTAGATCAACTACTGGAGTGGTTGTAACTTATGCAGGAGGTGCTATTTCATGGCTAAGTCAAAGGCAGGCAATGGTAGCTACATCCACCACAGAAGCGGAGATTGTCGCAGCTAGCGAAGCAACGAAGGAGGTGATTTGGTTAAGCACATTATTTAAGCAAATTGTAAAACTTAACGACAATCCTATCCTTCGGGTTGATAACTCTGCAGCAGTAAAACTAGCTCAAAATCCTGAGTTTCATCGACGAACGAAGCATATAGCTACGAAACATTTCTTTGTTCGAGAAAAAGTCAATGAAGGTATATTGGAAATTGAGCAAATTTCAACAGAACTGCAAGTGGCTGATATAATGACTAAGGCTCTTCAAAGACAACGTATACAGATTCTGTCTACGAAAATGGGTTTAACTTTAATTAACAAGGGAAAGTGTTGAAGATATCAGTCTAATATGTTAAATAAAGTTAGCACTTAGTCACTATCAGTTAGGTAGTTTTATATTAGATAAGTTGATGTTTGTTTTTACTGTTGTCAATTTTTGATAGTCATATTGTATTATTCTGTCCCTTCATATTTTAATAAAATCTTTTTGAACACACTTACTGACGAGCCTTATTTCCACTGGAAATATCTACCGCAACAGTTAAGTCTTTAGTAATGATAACGCCGAGATTATTTTGGGACGATACTGAATTTATGCATTATTATTATTAATATTATACACCAATTTAGGATTGTTTTCACCGATATGAAGAACAACACATTTATCAATGTTTAGAGGTAATAACGAGTCTGAACTCCACTTTGATACTGCACTTAAATCAGATTGAAGAGACTCCTAGTCCGCAATTGGATTATCGTAAATTTTTGTAACGTCTGCATAGAAGGAGCAACAGCTTTTTATGTGCACAGAAATATCGGCAGTATATAATAGAAAAGGTAGGGGACCAAGGACTGATCCTTAAGGCACCCCACTGATAACGAATTTGGTTTAAGAGAAACTATTACCAACTCTTAAGCGAAATTGCCTGGAGATTATGAAGTCCGTTACCCAATCTCTTAAGTTGTCTCGGATTTCCAGGTCTTTTTGAGAAATCGGTGATTTCGAACTCTATCAAATGCTTATAAAAATCCAAGTACATTACATCTGTAGAAAGACCAGCATCTAAGGCTTTTGTCCAGTCATTGATCGGCTGCAGAAGATTAGTTAAGGTAGATCGTACTCTGATAAATACATGTTGTTGGGTGAGAAGTACACGTTCGTTTACAAGAAAGTCAGTTACTTTATCACATATTATGAACTCCATTAATTTACAAACTATTGCTACAAGGCTTATCGGTCTATAGTTATTTGGGTCAAGCGTATTGCCCTTTTTGAATATGACAGTAACTGTCGCAGTCTATCATATAGATGACAAGATGTGAGAGTTAAAGGAGGAAATAATTATACAGGAAATGGGATAACAGAGAGTGTCAGCACAAGATTTTAAAAGAAAAGAGGAGATACCATCTAAGCCTGACGAAGAGTTGGACTTAAGCATTTTAAGTTTGTTTTTTATTATGTCTGGGCCAAACGATACGTTGGAAATAGAGCCCTGTATTCTGTTTAGTGAAATATCCGGAAGTGGTGATGTCAGATCTTCAAGGGTGAAGACATTACAGAAGGTGTCAGAAGGAGGTTGAGCAGATTCAGTATTGTTTGCACACTTATCTCCGTTTTCTTTTTGTAGAAGAGGTACAGACATTTTGGATGTCAGATTTGTTCTAACATATTTATAACACAGTTGGCGATGTACTCCTGATAGTTATGCTTTGCTTCAATAACTGCGGCCTTTAGTTGATTAGAGAATAGTCGATGAGCAGAGAAATCGTTCGCTTAAATTTTTTCCATAAGTGTTCCTTATGTTTTACCATAGACAGCAGTTAATTATTTATCCAGGGTTTCAGATTTGTTCGTCTGTTTAATTTGTTTTTAGTATGAGATTTTACATAATCATTAACCGTATTTTGAAAGATCATTCAGCTCGGATCATTGTTTTCAGGGATAATATTAAACCAGTCTAGTTGGTCTAGATAGGAAAAACTTCAGCAAAGTTTGTGAGTGAGAAGATAGTGTGATTGGATGTGCAAGAAGAGAATGATTGAAATTGTAAACGATACGTTATGACTGTATGATCAGATATTCCAACTGGTGGGGGTAAGTAGTAGATCGAGGGTAGAAGGTTCTTGATATATTCTAATCTTGTGGATTGGATTATTAGTTGAACCAAACTAGAATTGTGGATAAGTTCCATGAACTGATTGGTAACATATAGAAGTAATTAACAATTTAATTTTTGGAAAATTGAAAAATTTTTGGAAAATTGAAATCACCTATTATAATCAGATTTTCAAAACCACTTACGACATCGAGTTTGTCTAGCAGAGCTGCGTCAGTCGCAACAGGTGTGTCTGGCGGACGGTAAATAACTGCAAGAGTAATACGGCAATTGAGATGTTGCAGCTGCAAACAAAGAGAACCAATACGAGAAACTGAGATATCTACGGATGAGATTGTAAAACAATCTAAGATATGTTGAGCTACATATATACATACTCCCCCTTTTTGTCTACCAATTCGATCATATCTAAAAATCTGGTAATTAGGAATAGAGATTAAGCTGTCTGGAATATTTACATTGTAACTTGTAATGAATATTTTTCAGCTTAAAAAATTGTCTCTAATTTTTAAATTTCCGATATCATTATGTTAAGAATAATAGCGTATTATAATGTATATTCTCATTTTCCTATTTACTGATATTTTTTTACTAATTTTTACTTTTTACATAACAGGTTCCACCTGGTGTCAAGAAATTGTATGGTTACTGGGAAATAATATGGATTTTGAAGGATCGCAATCTACTCTACAGCAAATTAGAGCACCGTTAATTGAGTAAGTACCATATTTGTGTAAAAATATTATAACCATGACGTAAAATACGGTGGGAGGAAGCGTTTGACACGCTGCCATTGCTTCAAACAAGTATGGGCTCTATCTTAAGTCATATAATGTTATATTTAAAAAAATATAGAAGAGCAGAAAGTGACAAGTACGATTCATATCTATACCGACGGATCTAAAACAAAACAAGGATCAGGGTGAGGAATATATTCCAGATTCTTAAATCGAAACATAAAATGGGTTATGAGCCATATTACTATTGACCTCACTGGTATTCTCATAGTATCAATTGAAATCACCAACAGGAATATGCTCATCTTCACGGATAGCAATAAAACAAACAAACAAACACTACTTATCCCAAACAGACTAAGAATTTACTAAAGGTTTGTTTTAGAATATTACCAAGCCTTGATCGAAATATCCATCAATAATGTGGTCACCTTAAGGGTCAGAGACCACGCTACATCTTGTCGATGCACTAAGTTAAACCGTTGTTTCCTGTTTATTCCTTCTTTGATATATCTTATTCAGCTACGAATATTATTTTCAGAATGTCCGTTGCTCTTTACGAATACGCAGACCAATTTAAAAACCTGTTTACAAATTCAGTGGATTTTGTCAATCAGTTACCTTCTCCAAGATATGTAAAAAGCCATCTTCCCTTCCAGCTACTTCCAACAGAGATGCAGCAAGTAAAACCTAAGGTTGGTATCATGTTGAATACGATAGTTTGTATATTTTTTATTAAAAGTTTATTTTTTTAATTTAAAATACTTTAAAAACATAGTTATAACGTTTTGTTAGGCCGTATAAACTGGCATCGCTGATATTATTCGTTTCTTGCTTCATCTAGTATTACTTTGTTTTTGTATCTGAAAGAATTCAACGAGTAATGTGGCAGATTTGACCAAAAGCCTTAGAACTTTTATTTATTAATTTATTATCACTAGAGCTAGGAATATATGCAAAACGCCATATTTTGCATATGTTGCATATATATACAATTTTTGATTTTGAATGTATATATTGACATTTTGTTAATTTTTTGGCATATATCTGACGTACTAATTGGCTGAACATATTAAAATTATGAGTTTTGAACCAAAATAATATTTTGTGAAATGCCTTTACAGGTCGATTTCTTAAAATTTTGAAGGATCAAATTTTCCCTCTAATAAATTACGGTTAATGGTGTAGGTACTTGAAAGGATTAAATTATAAACACCCTCCTTAAACCAACAAATTTTGCTTGATATCCTTTCAAGTAGTTGTATTAATATCTTCAAATTTCTAAATGACTCAGTTTACTTTCAACTTCATTTCAGTCTTTATTGTTGTGTTGTGTTAACCAGTGGGAAAAATGGCAAAATTAATTGAGTCCAGGTGTTTTGTAAAACATGTTCTAAAATTGTAAGTACTTTTTTATTTTATATTTTATTTTGACCTTTCACAATGGTAAATCAAACGAGAGTAAAATATTATTTCAACTCACAGTTAAAAAAAAAGTAAGGCAACTTTACAACGTACGCATTTATTTAATTTAATTAATTAACATCTACAATAATTTATTTGTTTTAGATTCCATGTAAAAAAAAGTTTCAAATCGACAAACACGCGAAAACACCCTCACATATAGCAAAGCAAAAATCTAAAGACACTCGCAGACAAAGTTAACTTCCCTTGAAACAATATTTAGAATCTGGATCGTCTAGAAGTGAACAAGCTATTTTTAATGAAGATTTATGCAAAGCTTTAGTGACTTCGAATATTCCTTTAATACGATTAAATAATCCAAATCTCCGATTATTTTTGAAAAATACTGTAAATTTAATATTCAAGAGCAAAGTATATTACGCAAACGTGGTGTTGACAGTTTGTACATTGAGACTCGTGAAAAAATTCGTAATCTCACGAATTTTTCTGGTCTGATCGGGCGTTGGTATCTCTGGGTTTCTGTTCTGGTCGGGGTTGATATCTCTAGGGTTTCTGTTCTGGTCGGGCGTTGGTATCTCTGGGTTTCTGTTCTGGGTACCTATTCTCTAACTCATGGGAGCACTCCCATACTCCCATGCTCCCATACTCCCATGCCAACGTTGCCAAGTCGACAGAATAACTTTGATCTACTATTTAAGAGCCGATTCCACCGTTGTGTTAAACAGAGATTAAAGTGACATTAATAATGTAAAAATGTCATTTTAAACTTCGTTTAACACAACGGTGGAATCGGTCCTAAATAGTTCAAATTTCCTTTGTGATAAATACGGACCTAAATCTGGCAAGCCTGCAATTCTCCCTCGCATGGTATAAAATCTGACCTTACTACGCATGTACCTGGGCTAAAAGTGAGTAAGCACGATATACCCATCTAAGAGTAGGAGAGCAAAATATATGGGAGCACTCCCATGGGAGTGCTCCCATGACTTAGTGAATAGCTATCCAAGTCGGGCGTTGGTATCTCTGGGTTTCTGTTCTGGTCGGACGTTGGTATCTCTGGGTTTCTGTTCTGATCGGGCGTTGGTATCTCTAGGGTTTCTGTTCTGGTCGGGCGTTGGTATCTCTGGGTTTCTGTTCTGGCGGGCGTTGGTATCTCTGGGTTTCTTTTCTGGTCGGGCGTTGGTCTCTCCGGGTTTCTGTTCTGGTCAGGCGTTGGTATCTCTGGGTTTCTGTTCTGGTCGGACGTTGGTATCTCTGGGTTTCTGTTCTGATCGGGCGTTGGTATCTCTGGGTTTCTGTTCTGGTCGGACGTTGGTATCTCTGGGTTTCTGTTCTGGTCGGGCGTTGGTATCTCTGGATCTCTGTTCTTGTCGGGCGTTGGTATTTCTGGGTTTCTGTTCTGATCGGGCGTTGGTATCTCTGGGTTTCTGTTCTGGTCGGGCGTTGGTATCTCTGGGTGTCTGTTCTGGTCGGACGTTGGTATCTCTGGGTTTCTGGTATGAACTTACTTCGAACAGTTACCTGTTTTAAATGGGGTGCAGACCCAAATTTATCACTCACTTTTTACAGATGTTATATACGCTCGCTCTTAGACTATGGGTGTACTCTATACGGAACTGCTTCAAATACTAATCTGTTGATACTGGACAGAGTCCAGTATAAAGCGATTAGAATTTGCTTAGGTTTAATGAAATCGTCACCATGCCATGCAATTCTAGCAGAAGCACAAGAACCACCCCTAAAACTAAGAAGAAATTATTTAGCTAACAAACAAATCATCAAATATAGATCATACAATACATTACTATCTAACAAAACCTCGAACTTATGCACAGAATATCTAACGTCCAATTATTGGAAGAAGAAAAAATCTTCACCTTTAACAGATGCTTTTATTGATACCCATTATTTTACTCAAACTTGTGTTGCAAACAAATACCAATTTTGAAATAATAATATTCAAACCATCAGTCATATTCCCCGCTTATACTAGTGTACCGGCGCTTAATAATGCAATTTTAAAATCAACATTGAGTAAGCTTACCATTGACTGTGTCATTTATACTGATGGTTCTGAGAGCGCGTATGGAACAGGCTTAGCTTTTATTATTCCCAGCATCAATATAGTATATCGTTTTCGTATTCCAGATTTATGCTCAGTTTTTACTGCTGAAGCCATTGCCATAGAAAAGGCACTTACTTGGTGTGTACAAAACCTGAGATCGAAAGCTGTAACAGTTACGGACAGCAAATCGGTCCTAGAGGCAATTATTGCCTCTCCATTTAAAAACTATAAAAATAATTTAATCAACTGTACTCAACAAATAAAAAAATAACTCTAGTTTGGACCAAAGCGCATGTCGGCGTAACTGGAAACGAAAGAGCGATTATGAAGCTAAAGAAGCTGTAAAAAATGGAAATATCTTAAATTACTCTGTGCCTAGTTTTGACTTATTAGCTTTGTGTAAAAAGGATCTTCGAAAAAGTTGGAAAGAGCACTACAAAAACGCTATCCCGAATTTGAAAAACCATTACTTCCATATACATCCAACATTACCCAATGATATTGCCCACATTTCAAACTTCGACTTTACCAGAGATAGCACATCAATAATTTCTAGATTAAAATTAAATCATGGTCGGTTCCCAGCCCACCTCTATAAAATCGGTGTTATTAATTCCCCTTATTGTTCATGTGATAGTGAAAAGATTGCAGATTTGAATCATTTATTTTTTGATTGTGAAAATAATAAACAGTTTACAGAAAAGTTCTTTAAAGATCTTATTAATAACAGTTTCCATTTGCCATTGAATATTACCTGTCTACTAGCCTCAAACCAAAAATATATCTTCGATTTAATTCTGAATTTTATTAGGTCTGCCGATATAAAAATATAAAATTGAAAAAAAAAAACTAAAATCTAAAACTAGTATGTGTGGCAAATAGTTTAAAACTAATGCCAACCCACTCCCCCCCCCCCCACACACACACATTACCGTTGAAAACCATTTCTACATTATTGTGGATGAAACAACAGACTCTTGTGGTCGATATATAGCCGCCCATTTAATGATAGGTTCATTACGCGAAGAAATGCAAATTGGTCCATATCTAATCGCTTCAAAGCAATTAGATAAAACAAATAACTTGACAATAACTTATTTTATCCAGACAGAATTGTCTTCCTTTTTTCCTCCGGAAGCCGTTCCAACAGAAAAATGTTTATTGCTGTTATCCGATGCTGCCCCGTACATGGTAAAAGCTGCACAAAATTTAAAAATGTTTTATGAAAACTTAATCCATGTTTGGCTCATGGCCTTAACAGAGTTGCAGAAGAAATTAGGTCTAACTTTCCTTTAATAAATGATTTAATTAGTAATGTAAAAAAATATTTCTTAAAGCTCCTCTAAGAACTCAATTGTACAAAGAAAAATTTCCTGAATGGGCCATGTTCACATGTGAGATATGCTGTTTTATAAATTATATTGTAATAGTTAGTCGCTATACAAGTTATTCTAAATAGTCAGTTCGTTAAAAAAACCAAAAGTTTTTAAATTAAGCTCATTTGAAATTTAAAATTTGAAATTATACGTCATCGGGAATAGACCAATCATCTTGTGTCGAAGTTTTTTTTGTTATACAAAAGCAAGCCAACGAACAAACCGACATACAAAATGTCGAAGTAAACGCACATCTAAGTGACATTAAAATTGACACCACCTAACACCTAACCTTAGTTTTTTGTTTTGGTTTAATTTTATTATTAATATGAATTTATCAGCTGGATTTATAAAAGTTGAATCAAGTGTTTTACCCACTGTAAACGAAAATATGATTACCGAGATGATTACTGCATTTTTTAACAATACTCAGTTTACAAAAGACAGAAAGGTAAGACTTTATTTATAATTTGTTTTAATAGTAGGTAGTTACAGTTTATATGGAACAATACACCTTATAATAGTAAAACATATTTATCTCAGGTTTTATTTTTAGATCTGCCAAGCAAGAATATGGAGATAATTACTTTTTCCATAAAAGAGGAGACAAATTACACCTAAACATAAAGTACGGCAAAAACCTTATGATGTAGTTGTTGTAATTAACAAAAATGAAATTTTTAGTGCACAACGCTTAGGATATGCTGCATCTCAAGGTTTGTAATATTTATTATGCTTTTTTGTTTTTATATCACATATAATAAACAGTGTATAAGGCCCTTTATTCCTATAAATATTTTTTTTCTAATTTTGACATATAAAGAGACAT